GGTGATTGTATAGAGGTTTTATAATTACAGTCACACCTCTATACAATCACCACTTTGAGGTGCAACGGACTTGGTGACTGTAAGGAGGTCTGACTGTATACATTGACGTTGTGTTTCTTGCTTAGAAGCGGGCATTGTGTTTGTATACTAAACAAAGTTGCGTTAAGAATCAGGTTGTAAACAACGCTCAAATATACTCCTGATTATCATGTTTATTTTCCATTTTACATGTCCCGAATCGGACAGAAAACAAGCGCGTGGGACGCGTTTACGTCGCATAAAAAAATATCCGTTTTTTTTTGTTACACACTGTATGTTGATTTTGAGACATATTCTTAACGTTAGTGAAAGTGTGCCAATAACATCCATGGGTTATACGTAATACAGCCTCATGTGATATACACAAATTTTGTGTACGTAGAGAGAATGCTCTCCATAACCGAACAACTCTGGGACTTAAATCTCTGCCTTGCCTCTTGCACTTTCACTACGAACAAACGGCCACTTTTCGTATTAAGACTGAAATTCTTCCAATTAGCGCTTGTATCGTTTTAGATAGCGAATAAAAAAGTGCTTCAAAATGTTATTTTGGTACAAAGCTTTCTTTCTTGTAACTTTCGAACGTTTGCTTAGGAGGGCAGTTTTAATATATTTTCTATATAACCTTTACTTATATTTAACAATTTGCTACTTTTTATTTGACACCCCATAGTCGAATTAATTTTTATTTACATTAGTTTAGCAAACGCTATTATAACAAGACTTGGTCAGGTAGGCATATATAATTTACAGGCTATCAATCAGTCAGTAAAAATGTTGTATTCAAATAGCAGTCAGAAGTTAAATCTGGTTTTTAAATTGCACACGCCCAATAATACCTATATAGATAATGGTCCCTTTCTTAATAAAGACTAAGACGTGGTTGTAGAAAAATCGTTGCTACAAACTTGCAACACTTTGTATTATCAATTGACTGTATAATATTTAATCCGTGTCTCTGTGAACTGTACATAGTCAAACTCAATAAGATAAAGTCGACGGACTGGTTGTAACGGTTTAAATTACTTTTATTACGTTATTTATATGGTATACTGCGGCGTCAACACAAATTGCTACTATTGATGGAAAAATTGGGTTGCTTGACTTGACAATCAGCACGCTGATGTACATTACTTAATACCGATTTCTGGAGAGATATTGGAAGTGGTTCTTCAAATGGCTCACCTTCGGATGGCTCTTGCTGTCAGTGTATCCTAAATTTTCAACATGTTTCGTAGATAACATATTTTTATGTTTGTTCGTAAATAGAAGGACCAACAGTATACTGTTCATAGTTTTTGAATCAAGAATTGAGGTTCAAAGATTATTTGGTAACACTTATTCTCTGAATGGTAAATCAATTTAAGTAATCGTGAGAGAATTCTCTTACAGATTTATAATAAAATTTAAGACTATGCAGGTATTTTTAATTAAAAAATTTGGGGCGGAAAAGTTCTTTCTTTCTTTTAGAATAACTGCATCTTAAACTGATTTTGTTTTATCTAGTCTGACAATGTATTTTGCTGGTTTGGAACGTGCTTACTCGGTGCTGAAGCATTGCATGCATTACAAACCTTCATTGTAGTCTTTAATCAACTTGGCAATTGTGTATAGATCTGAATGTTGTTTAAACATGAGCCTGATCCAAATTTTTAAATAAGTTTTCGTCAAAGTCTAACGTTAGGCAATCGTGTCGGAATGGAGCGTATATATTTAGCATCATCTCCTGTCCTTGACATCAATGCACGTTCAACGATATAATAAAATGCGTACTGCAAATGTTGTTTGAAAAATGTCTACCTTTGAAATACCAGTTCTAGTAACAAGATTAGTATTGATTACATTAGAAAGACTCTTGTAATGAATCCACTGTAATAAAATGGTAGACAGCGGTACGGTAGTGTTTGCTCTGACCATGTTTGGGGTTACCTTCTTTGTCACTGTAAACAAAAATCTTTTTGGTTCGTCTTACATTTGAACTACATACGCTCCTGGATATAGCAATATATTTGTCGTTACCAGAACATCCTTATTAAGCTCGGCCGTTCCTATTATTATACCTTTTGTATTACACATTAACAATTGTGGCAATATCGATATATTTTTATACCCGAATGGCATTTCCCAATAACCAATCACTATTCATGATCAATAATAATAATAACAACAACGAAAATGATAGTGCAAATGAAACAGAAAACCCGGATAATGCGTTTAGCCATCTCCGTGCAATTACTGTATCGATAGTGTGTTCTTTACGAGATCACGTATTGAAATATCACGTCAATTATGAAAGTCATTGCTAAACAATTTTGTTACCGACATGTAGTGTTATATCATTAGCTGAATTCTCCGCATCGGAGATCATTCGCGCAAGTCACAGGACTGCCAAATTTTTTGTGGCATAACTATTACATCGACTACAACGTCCGGATATAAAATATATACAGATTCAAACCTTTGTAGAATTAACTTGCGTTGTGTATTTTCATATTAGTATATATTAAGTCATACTGTTTGTTTTCGTGAATTAGATAATCTATGGATCTCTATTGATAAGCTACTTTAGACTGGGACTGTTTCGTACAATGCGTCGGGGTTCCTGTCCATCTCTATAGCTTGTTCACAAGCACTTATGACGAGTTTTCTGGGACATCCTTGTGGCGCATAATGAACGACAAAGTCGCCAGGCATGTATCTGCTGGGGAACGTGTTGAAAGTGTGGTCGTCCTCGTCCAGAAGTAAAGCCTAAAATAACGCAAGTGATGTGAAAAGAGCAGATACGGGTTCAGTTTCTATTATACATTTCCAAAATACAAAAGCATGATAAGCAATATTTCATGATATGAACGTACCCCTTCTTGCCATTCAGGCTTTATCATAACTTTCCACATAGCAGCCTGCTCGTAGAATTTTCCTCGATATTGAGATTTGAACATCTGTACTTCTCGAAGGAATCTCTTACTCCAATCCGAATTTCTCAACAAAAACACACCCGCATTTATCGTTGAATCGCCCACTGGTTTCGCTACAATCAAATGCTTCTTTTCAAACTCTCTCTTTCCCAACTGCTTTTCGAACTTTTTTAGCAAGCTCTCTATGCTGGTAGAAAAATTAATTACCACAGCGTCCATATCGAGCCAAAACAACCAATCGTACAATGGAAGCACTTTCTCTACTGCATCGATTTTGCCCCACACTGTCTTGCGACCGAGATATCCTTGCTGAGCGAATTCCATTGATCTTGCTACAAAAGAGTAGCCGTGTCTCTTAGCGTACAGTCTTTTGTTATCTGCAGAGATCGGGGCAGCAGCTAACATACACAGATCAGTGTATACAAAACTACTAGTGAGTACAACGACGGATGGTTTCGATATGGTAGGGTGCTCACTCTGTCGCGTAGCTGGTAAATCACATGGAGGCGACGGTGGTATGGCGAGGTAGTCTACGATGTCTTTTACTTCGCCGTTCTGATACACACTATTGATAGCAAAGACATCTTCGGGTATGTTGTAAATTGTATTTCGCCAATCTACTATATTGATATCGTCATCGATGGCGACAACTCTATTCTTATTTGTGATCGCGCCTTTATAGTATTGATAAATTTTGGTAAACAGGGAGCCGGTTTCGTGCATAGATTTGATGCGCGGTAATTGCGCTAATATCGTATTCAATGCACTTGATCCAATGATAGTTGTTGAGCGATTTGAGAACGTTTTAAATGAACCCCAAAATAGTTTGTCCAGTTGACCTGAGGAAGACTTGTACCCAGGAATGTCAAGTGATTCTATACTTTGCTGGATTTTAGGAATGTTGAGGACAGTGAAGATGTCGGTGTAGATTAAAAAGTCAAAGTTATATTCCTTTCTCTTTTGATCAGCCTAATATGAAGATGGGGAATTATTAAAGGTTCATTTAATTTAAAAGTTATTGAAAGTGAGCATTAAATTCGTTTGATTACAACAAAGACTCACCCGTGTCAGTACTTCTTCTATCCACTTGTCGCCTCGCACATTTGGAAGTTCGTCAATATCGTCAAATTCCATTATTTCGGATGCATATCTCCTCGCAGCAGATTTAGTATTTGTAGTTGTAGTTTTTGTGAAACTCTTTAGAGATGAATCATTCCTGACCAAGAAACGGTGCTGCACATTAGAAGTGGGTTCTAAGCAGTATACCAGGTTATCTTTTATTCCGAATATTTTCTCCCTTAATAATCTTCTCCTCGAATGGTCAACAACGTTAGAGTTAATGACCACCAGGTAATTATATTTCCCTTCAGGTGACGTCTCGTCCGGATGCACGTTGATCGGAGTGCTTATACCTACGTGGTCATCGGTGGTTTCTTCCGTTGGGGTACTAGTATCCACCAGTTCCCCTTCTCCTGCGTCTTGGAATGGTGAATTACTAGTGTCCCCAGGTGTAGTTATTATGAATGCTAAAAGCAATAGGGTGGCAATGCCACCGGCTAGGACGCAATACTGTTTGTTGAACTTCGCCATCTCCACCCCGAAGAAAAATGTGAAGAAAAGTAATTAAAATTAGTGTCGTAGTAATAGTAATAGCAATTTGCTTAAAACGCTCCTAGTACTAGTGTGGCACAATGTTATTGTGTGACGTTTTTGTGATCTCCCTAATTATAATAATAATATAAATATAAATAACGAGTTTTTCCAAATAACGCAGATCTTTGCTTTTTATGGGGGAAAACCGGGGTAA